CCCGGCAGCGGCCGCAACGGGCCTTCCCATTGGCTCCTCCGCCTCCCACCAGAATTCGAGTGATTGGTTCCAGAATAGGAGTGACAGAAGCATCTACCAATGACAGTGGTGAGTTCTGCCTTGGAGGCGGGGCGGTGGGAGAGTGAGGAGGGGGCTGAACGCGCGGGGCGGGGCGTGAGAGTTGACAGCCTTGGAGGTGAGAGAGGGACTTTGATTGGGCTGCCCTGGAAAGTGGGTCCCCGAGTGTCTGCGCGCGCCCCGACACCCACAGACACAGACGGGCGCACGCCTCCGTAGGCAGGTTGCGAGGACTCCACCCTCCAGCGGCCGATTGTACAACTTGAGACTGAGGCAAACTTGACTTTGAGGTACACCTGTTTCTGGTAGGATGTTCTGGAGTTGGCACCGGCAGAATCCATGCTTTCCCCTGATTTCAGGAATATCTTAGTTTTCTTGGCGAGGAGACTGATGAAACGAAGCAGCAGTGTCTGAATACTGGGTTGAACAATGGGCTGCTCCTTCCACAACCTATCCTCACATTGGTAGTTATGCAGTGAAATGAGGTAATGAAATTTTATGTTCCGAGACAATAACTCTGAATTGCAGGGGTCAACGTGGAATTGTACGACGCCATTACACCATCAGTTAGATATATTAATGGAGGGCACCCTGTTGCCTTTCCCCAGAAGCAAATGGCCTCTTGGGAGAAATAAATACCAGACTTACTGTAACAACCCACTGTGATAAATTTAGTTTTTATTCTACAGTGAAACTGAAGAGATACAAAGATTTTTGGATGACCGCAGTGATTTTAGATGACTATCAGAAACTCTACCATAAACCAAGGTTTTAAACCTTAATTAATCGGGAACAATTAATTTAAGGGGGTACTGTAGTACCCTCTATTAATTTCCTTGAGATTAAAAAAAAAGAGAGAGAGAAGTGAGAAGTCACATTGGTCTACTCTTGTGTCTGCCCACGCTGACAAGCTTCCTCTGATTTCAGGCACTGTATGCAGGGGTCAGTTTCACTTAGAGAAGCCATCCTTCTCTGCTTCCTTAAGCGGTCAGACCAGAAAGCATACTTGGTTCTATAAAAAGTGCATGAAACAAACCTAATATAAATACTAGAATTGCACCCAATACTTCATCCTATTAAGAGACTAGTGATAGCTCCTCACTTTATCGCACACTAGAATAATTAACATCTATTGAACATTCACTATGTGCTAGTCACTGTTGTAAGAATGTGTCATGTGTTAACTCATTCGGTCCGCCTATAATCCACCAGTAGACACTATTATTGGGCCCATTGTGTTCTCAGCTGAGCCGAAAAAAAGGCTAAATGTGTTGCCTGAGATTACTAGGCTAGTAAATGGAGGGCTAAGCATCTAACCCAGGTGGACGAACTTGAGTTTGTGAGTAAGCCCTCTGCTCTAGCACATCACTGCTTACAGCTGTGGAGTACATGTTTGTATTTTCAATAGTCTGCAAATCTCATCTGTAAGATAAGTTCCCATTAGTTCAAAAGAAATTTCACAAGTGAAGACAGCCCACTACATATATATATATATAATTTGCTTTCCAGAATAGCTTGTTTTAATTATAAACAGGGAAAAGACTTTACTCTTTCAAATTCAGTATAATTGACCTGTTGTGTCACTGTTTCCATCTAAAATTAAAGTTACTCATTAATTAGGAAAGTGCATTCTTTCTTGAGGAAAAAGAGTGATAAGTGGCTCGCTTGTTTCCAGTGACTTTTTCAGCATATCGAGAACAAAAGATTTGACAGATGTAAAGGTGTAAAAAAATGCTGGTAAATCTCTAAGTTGTTGGTTTGATTACAGCATGGTTTCATTATAGAAATGTCATCTCTGTCCACTCCTAAATAAGTATGGAACAACCCCAACACATTAGATTACAATAATTCTGAATTTATACCAAGCCAGAGTCAATAATGATCAATACTTGATTTGGATTTAAAACAACAACCTGGCCACATTTTAAAGGCTTTCTGTGTTTGTTCAAGTCTACTATAGCTAATTTAAGTCAGACATTTAAAGTGAATCTGAACGACCTACACAGAGAACTACAGGGGTAGGCAAAAGTAGGTTTACAATTGTTCATATGGAAAATAATACAATAATTAATAAATCATAATAAAAGAATAAGATCTGTGTTTTGTGTATTCTATAACTGTAAGCCTACTTTTGCCAGCCCCTGTAGTATGATCACAAAATACTATTTTCAGTTACTGATAAGTCATCATGACCTATTTGGGTGTTCAATCACCTTCTCTTTGCTACAGCTACCTTGGTTGTCTCTTAATCTATATTCTCATGAAATAAGTACTGATTTTCATGTGTAAGAAATTCAGTCTCCAAACAAATCAAAAGTGAGCTAAAATAAATCTATTGTCTGCTTTCAAATGACCGTTTGTTGAATTCTTAATATTTTATTCTTATTAAGGATCTCCAGGGGGATAATGGAAACTTTAGGAAAATGTTCTCAGTAAATTGGAAACCCCATTGAAAAAGGTGTGGATTGCTGGGCTAGAAGAGCATTGTGACACTACTATGCTAGCTGTGAGATGGATAGGCCCAGCGCAGGTTATCTCTGTTGTAACGATCTCTGGAAAGTCTACATAAGACTTAATGTTAGTAAGATCTCTTTACTGTGTTGTCTGACTAGAAGACAACATTGAAAACACAATTTGGTGGCATAGGAAATACCTTTGTTCTCAGTAGCCCATGTCTTGTCTGTGGGACAAGAATCCTCCATTAGCTAATCTGAGGTAGAATTATATTATACATACTTCCTAGTTCATAAATGGTAATGGACTATATTTTAGGTTTAAATGAAAACTTGGAATCATTGGCTACATTTGATTAATATGCAGCCCCATGTGAAGGGGGGATGAGATAAAAAATCATTGGACCTACAGAGCTACTAAAACGTCTCTTTTCTAGTTTCATCCAGGTTTGCCAGGCTGTTCATCTAAGGCCCATCTGAATCTAAGAGGCTGTCAGGCTGTCAGTATTAGCAATGAGGTCATGGCTGATAGAAAACACTAAACAGATCCACACTGATGTTCATCTTAAGCTGATTAAGCTCTCAATGTAGGTGGATTCTTTATAGCAACAAGAAAAGCCTTGCCTGAATTTTTGTCCCTGGCAGATGCTTACAGTAAAACTTCTGACAGCTTGTGACAGCCTACGTGCGCCTTTGCACTAGGTGTTCCCTTTGCCTGAAAAGTTCTTGCCCCAGATATCCACAGGACTTTCTCATTTCCATCAGCTCTTGACTCAGATGTCACCACCTTCACAATGATAGCTTTTCTGAAAACATTTTTAAAAATTTATTTTATTATATATAAATATCTGAAATCAATCTAATTGATTTCAGATATGAAGGTAAAGGGAGAGAGAGATAGAAACATCAATGACGAGAGAGAATCATTGATTGGCTGCCTCCTGCACACCCCCTACCAGGGATCGAGCCCACAACCTGGGCATATGCCCTGACCAGGAATCAAATCATGACCGCCTGGTTCATAGGTGGACCCTCAACCACCTAGCCACGCTGGTTGGGCTGAATACCTTTTTAAAATTGCAAGCACCCCTAGGCATTCTCTACTCTCTATTTTTCCAGAGCACCTATCACCATGCAACATATTATATATTATAATTATTTTTTGTTCTGTCTGTCTAGAATATAAGGGCCATGAAGGTAAGACTTTTTACCTGTTTTACAACTTCTGAATCTCCACAACAGTGCTCAGTACATGGTAGACAATCAATATTTGCTCAATGTTGTTGAAAAAGTAGCAAATTCTATCCAGTGCTTGTCTCATGAACTAAAACTGTGCCTTTTGTCAGAAAAAAAATGTGATAACAGGTATGTTTCTGTTGCAAAGGCATAGCCATATAGCAGAAAAATGTTCCATGTGGCTCTGTAAACCATACAGATATCTGCATTGGGGCTGGCATTCAAAAAGAAAGCATATCTTGTAGTATGGTCCTTATACCCACAAAGTGAAAAATATTAGTCTTTGGAGGCTCATCAGAGGTTGAAAAATGGAAAATGAAATTGGTAATAAAGAAAAGGCAGTTAAATTTTTCAGAAAAAAAGTAACCACCTGAAATGGACAGAGAAGGACAGTTGAGAAGGATCAGTTAGGGAGTGACACCTGCTGATTTGTAGTTAGCTCCATCTCACTGGTAGGAACACCTATTCTCAAGAGGCCTCTATAAAGGAACTGAAAAAATTAAGTAGAAAGGGAACATTTCATGTAAATAATAAAAAATGTGCTTTCTTCCCCTCAAGGTTTATTGAGATATAGTTGAGATAAGATTGTGAAAGTTTAAGGTATATAATGTAATGGTTTAATATAGGTTGTAGTGAAAAAAGATTAACACAATAAAGTTAGTTAACATATCTATTACCTCACATAGTTAAAACAATTTTTTTATGGTGAGAACTTTTAAAACATTCTTTTTGCATATTTCAACTATACAACATAGTATTGTTAGCTTACAGTCACCATAATATACATTATGTCCCCAGAACTTATTCATCTTATAATTGGAAGTTTGTATCTTTTGACCAACTTCATGCATTTACCCACTTCCTACCTGCCTGCCACAGGCAACCACCGATCTCTTCTGTTTCTATGAGTGTGGGTTTTTTCAAATTCCATGTATAAGTGAGATCATATAGTATTCATCTTTCTCCATCTGATTATTTAACTTAGCATAATGTTCTCAAGATTCATCCATGTTGACACAAATGGCAGGATTTCCTTTTTATGACTGAATAACATTCTATTGTATCTATTTACCACATTTTCTTTATCCATTTATACATTGATGGACATTTAGGTTGTTAATATGCTTGGCTATTGCAAATAATGCTGCAGTGAACATGGGGGTGCTGATATTTCTTCAAGATACTGACTTCATTTCCTTCTAATATATACCTGAAATGGAATTGCTGGTAGTTCTATTTTTAATTTTTTGAAGACCATATTGTTTTCCATAGTGGCTGCACCAATTGACATTCCCACCAACAGTGTGTAAGGGTTGCTTTTTCTCCATATTCTCACCAGCA